CTTCCAATTTGTGGATGCTTTTATTATTATTATTATTATTATTATTATTATTATTATTATTATTATTATTATTATTAAGATTTATTGCCTGTGAATTCATTTTTCAGTTGATTTGTGGTGAAGAAACAATTTGAAAGCTTAAATTGCAATTATCTACTGTATTTTAGAGATGTAGATTTGGGATCTGCTAAGCTGCAACTATTTAGACATGCCCCTTGTTGATTTTTCACCTTAATATGCTTGTCTGTTTGTTAGCTTTGTACTATGATTGAATGTTGTTTGAACAAGTATTTATGACAGCCTTTGTATGTGATGAGTGTGTATATTATTGGGGCTCTGCAAATTTTTTTTATCTATAATTCTATCTCAAACGTCTGATTATCGACACTGCGTTGTTTAGGCTCTTCATGTTTTCTAGAGCTATAGACTCTTATCCTATCCAACTGTGTGTGTTACAAATTTAAAAACGTGTTTCTGTGTCGGATTTGAACAACCCAAGTCTCTTCTTCAATACGTGTGGCGCTCTTTGTCGTGAAGTCATTAACATATGCTTGAATACAATCGGTGTCTTAAGTCTAATGCGTGGTGAAATTTAGGGGTACAAAAATTGCTCGTAAACTTAAAACAATGTAAGTTAATATGGAAACTCTGCGGAAGCCAATAATTAAAAACGAACTTTGCGTCTCACTCTCCCTCAGAACTCTTTCATTAAGCCAATAAGCATATTTGACTGACAAGTACAAATAGGAAGTATACGCATAGACTTCCTCTAACTAACCTACTTTATATTCTGCCTACCTGACTACTCGGTCGAGTAGGACGTGGAGAATTCGAACACTAACTATAAAATCAAAACAAACTCACGAGCTCTCTACAGTATTTTCTCCATAAATCAGTGTGATCTTTTCGTGTATGCTACCTGAAAAACAGAAATGGTTAATCAACTAACTATTTGCAACTCTATAGATGGTTCTAAATATTCAAGATATTCTCGTTCTTTTTTCGAAATTGAATCATAATGTCTTGCTAAACTCATTGTACAAGATTCTTCCAATATTGCGACGCGTTTTCCTTCCTTCACAGATATGGAACTATCTTGATTTGTTTCCATTCGAAATATTTCTTGTTTGATCCTTTCCTTCTAGGCTCGATTTTCTCAGCTATAAACTAGTGATTTATTGCTTCAAAATCTCTCTTTTTATTTTTCATTTCATCCCTTTTTTGCCCAAATAAAAGTTCAACTAATTATGCTTCAACTAATTATTTTTCAATTCATCCCTTCCTTTTTTTTTTTTCAAACATTAATTCTAAGTCACCTATTTCAAGAAACACAAATAAGGTAAACAACTTTTATATTTTCGATGAATGCCAAATTCAGTTTTCTTACACGTGGCTAAGTTGTTAAACATGATTCGCTTGCGAGCTCGACTCTATTCGTGCTCTTTTAATTAACGAGCTCGTTAATGCTCAAAAATAGGTATTTTAATGTAATTTTCTATAGCTTGGCTTGTTAATAAAGGCTTGTGCCTGAGCTCAAGCATCAGGAGCTCGCTCACCTTGTTTACAACCCTTACGTTTGTGGTATTTTAAGTTCAAATCTTGTTTGCTGTTCTGAGGTTAATATTCTGTAGCATGTAAAGTTGCCGTGCCATTTCTCCTCATGCAATGTTGTTTGTGAATGACGGTTTAAATCTCTAATAAGTACCTTTTACTTGAGTTCTTTCTGAATTTTCGTGCTTTGTGATTAAGATTATTGAAACTCAATACTAAGATGATCATGCAGTCTGACTATCTTTTCTGGTTCACATGTTATAGCAAGTTAGCAACCATCTTTGAGACGAGGACTCAAAAAGGCTTTTTTCTGAATTGAGAAAATTTTTGGGACCTTATCCAGAGTGTAACAATAATGCCTTCACCAGAAGATGTTGCTTGGGCAGATTCTTGCTTGAGCAAAGATTCTGACGTGTCGGACAGTGATTGGAACTTGAATGCTCTTAAAGAGGCATTGTTAGAAACTTCTACTCCACAATATAAACCATCTCTTAATGAGGAGAATACTGATGATTTCTGGTCGAGTCATAAAGTCGAAGATATTTTCCTCCCGACGTACAATGAGGATTCGAGGGACCTTGAATTGTCTGATGATGAGACTGGCTTTGTTTATCAGACATATGAGTTGGATCAACCGACGAAAGACATTTTCAAGGTATGGGATTTAGACCTACCACCCGAAGACGATGATGATGATGATGATCTCGTGAAGCAGCTAAATAAAGCCCTTGGAGAAAACTCCTTAGATTCAAAATCTCCAATTTCCGATGATAATGTTACCAAGGCATGGAAAGATTTGCCGGGCGAGTCACTTGACGATCTCATTTCTGGAATTGCAGATCTCGCTTTGAATCCAAGTTCTGGCGGATGATTTAGTTAAACAGTGTTGAATTATATCATAATGAGGCAACTTACATTCGACTGACCAATTTGGTAAACCTAGCTTATAGATGATAAGCTATCTTATACTTATAGTTTTTAAGTGAATTTCGAGCTTATAACTGATAACTTATTACTTGTGGTTGAAAAGTTAGGTTATATGATGAAAGTGTTTTGGTAAATTTGCTGATAAGCTAGTTGAATTTTCAGTTGGCTTATTTCAATTGGCTTACATGGTCGATTCTCTTTGTTTGGCTAAATCTGGATATTTTGAGTTTGAGCTTCTTGGCCCCTTCGAAAGAAGGTGAGCTTACCTCCATTATTTTGGATCTAAAGGAACCTATTGGACCTTGTGTGTTGGGCTTATATGAGTAACTCGCGGGATATAATTTTTTATGGCCCGGTTATGTATGACGTGACGAGCAACGGACCGTTGATATGATTCTCACTGTCCCACCCAAACCCATAACCAAATATGGGCCATTTACTCTCAACCAATCGGACTAACCACATTACCAAAGAAAAACACATCATAGCCTCACATTTATGAATCTTGCCAACAGCTCAATACTTTTTCTGACGTGATATATTTGATTGTACATATTAGAGATGTTAATTTTGAAGTTTATTTAGTTGACAAGTCGAGTCAAGCTTCGCTCGAGTATTGACATGTTTTGTTAATAAGTCGAGTTTGGCTCAAACTCAAGAATCAAGAGTTCATGCTTGACCAGTTAATATTGATAAACGAGTCAACTCAAGCTCATTTATTGGCTCGTACTGGTAACGAGGCGAGTGCAGCTCAACTCAATAAAAATTTCGAGCCCCAGTTCTAACTTGTTCAGACTGGTAAAAGTCTCCAAAATATACAAACTTAACAATAATTAGAAAAATCTTTTCCTTAAAAGCCTCAACTTACATCTGTATTATTTTTTTTTTATTTATTTTTTATTTTAGTTCTTATTTTCGAGGCGGATATGGTTCCATACACTTGAGCCACTTTCCACAACCTGCCAAATCAGACAAAATATCACATCCACATGGCGGCCCATGATTGGCTCAATATTGACAGCCTCAAACTGTACATCTTTTAGCACCTATATATACTCACACTCAGTACTATACAAAGATTGTGTGTGGCAACGAGAGTGAGTGTGGAGATAAGATTTTCCAAAATAAAGTCTCTCGCCCTTAGCTTATCTTTGTTCCCTATTTGGAGCCACAAAAAAATTTAAAGCTCTTATCAATGGCTTCAGCATCTCTCCTCAGGTCATCGCCGGTCCTCGACAAGTCCGAATTCGTCAAGGGCCAAACGCTCCTCCGCCAGCCATCTGCTGTCGTCCGTCCTAAAGCCGCCCCCTCAGCTCTTACCATCCGTGCATCCTCGTACGCCGATGAGCTCGTCAAAACCGCGGTGCGTATGTCAATATAATGTCTCAAGTATGAGCTCAAGCTCGAGCTTCTGATATTCGAGCTTTGACTCGAGCCTCTCGTTGACTAAACGAAGCTCGGCTTATTTATGAATATTAACGAACTGAACTCGAATCTTAACGAAACTAGCTATTGAAAACCGTATAAACTTTCTATGTTTGAGCATTAACAAGCCTCGTTAACTAAACTAGGTCGAGCTCAGCTCGTTTATCAAATGTCTCAAGTAGGGGTGCGTAAACGAGTTGAGACTAGCTCGAGTTTCTGATAGACTGATATTCGAGCTCTGACTCGAGCCTCTGGCTAACTAGATGAAGTTCGACTCATTTATTAATGAACTGAACTAGAATCTTAGCGAAGTTAGCTATAGAAAATTGCATAAAAAAAATCACCTCGTTAACCAAACGAGGTCGAGCTCAGCTCTTTTATCAAATATCTCAAGTAGGGTTATGTGAATGAGTTGAGACGATCTCGAGTTTTTTTATATTCGAGCTCTGACTCGAGCCTCTGGTCGAACTGAACTCGAATGTTAACGAAGTTAGCTATAGAAAGTTGCATTTTTTAAAAAAAAAATCTATGTTTGAGCCTTAACGAGCCTCGTTAACTAAACGAGGTCGAGCTCAGCTCATTTATCAAATGAGTCGAGTTCATGAGTAGCTTGTTTCATTTAAACCGATTCGACATAAAGATTGTCTCTTTGCAACTCAAGCCTCAACGAGCGACTCGTTACATTTAAAAGCTCTTAGTCTAACCATGTGTAAAAAACAATAGCACCTAACGAATCAAAACGAGGAATCCAAAATCCGATTGAAGACAAAGATTAATTATCTCGCGCAATAAATTCATGCCTTATTATGTCAAGTCGTAGAGACTCGCATTGTCTTTTCTTAACGTCGAGTAATAAAATGCCTATATTAAAAATTAATACAATAATGTTGATGAGTGTTTGGTGTGCAGAAAACCGTAGCCTCTCCAGGGCGCGGGATTCTCGCCATGGACGAGTCGAATGCCACGTGTGGCAAACGGCTGGCTTCTATAGGCCTAGAGAACACTGAGGCCAATCGCCAGGCGTACCGGACCTTACTTGTCACTGCTCCCGGGCTTGGTAACTACATTTCGGGCGCAATTCTCTTTGAGGAAACTCTTTACCAGTCGACTACCGATGGCAAAAAAATGGTTGATGTTCTTGTCGAGCAGAACATTGTTCCTGGAATAAAAGTCGACAAGGTGATACACACTTATGATCAAACAATAATTAAGCCAATGATTGATTATATATTTTATTTTTTCTGTTTTTTGATTTTTTTTTTTCATTACATGATTGATTAATACAGGGTTTGGTCCCACTTGCTGGCTCGAATGACGAGTCGTGGTGCCAAGGTCTCGATGGACTTGCTTCGCGCTCCGCGGCTTATTACCAACAGGGTGCTCGTTTCGCCAAATGGTATTTTTGATATATTTCTAATGATTTTCACCCCCTAAAGAACAAATTTTAAATTTTTTTCAATAATTTAGGCGTACTGTTGTGAGCATTCCCAATGGACCGTCTGCACTGGCCGTGAAGGAGGCCGCTTGGGGCCTGGCCCGTTATGCCGCCATCTCTCAGGTATATACATACATATATATGTATTGGATCTAATATACTGTGTTTACATAATGTTTTGTTTGGTTGATGACTATACAGGACAATGGTTTGGTCCCAATCGTGGAGCCTGAGATTCTTTTGGATGGTGAGCATGGAATTGATAGGACTTTCGAGGTGGCCCAAAAGGTGTGGGCCGAGGTTTTCTTCTACTTGGCCGAGAACAATGTGTTGTTCGAGGGCATTCTTCTCAAGCCCAGTATGGTGACACCTGGCGCCGAGTGCAAGGACAGGGCCACGCCCGAGCAAGTTTCGGATTATACCCTCAAGCTCCTTCACAGGAGGATTCCCCCTGCTGTCCCTGGAATCATGGCAAGTTTTCGTATTTATACGCAGCAATTTTTCGTCTCGGTTTTCATGCTTTTTCGTGCTTTCGTAACAAATTTGGACTGTATTATATGTCTTGTGAAAAAGGCTCATGTTTTCACAGTAAGTTGATAGTGTTTAGCAAGTTCAGAATTAGGACCAGAAATCTTGCCATAAAGCTTATATATAAATTCTGGCTTTTCAGTTTTAGTTACTCCCTTATGTTAGTTACATTACATGTAGGGATAAAAACTCATAGTTGATAGCTTTTAAATGAATTTCGAGCTTAAAATTTATAGCTTATGACTTATGTCCGAAAAACTAGTTTATATGATAAAAGTATTTGTTAGAATTAGCTAATAAGCGAGCTGAAATAAATATTTGAATGAGCTTATTTGAAAAGCTACTCAATGAAGTTTATAAGATAAGTTCGAGGTTTATTTGAATACAAATAAGATAAGTTCGAGGTTTTTTTAGCACAACTTTAAAACCAAGTTTATTTGAATATAAGAAACTTATAAACTAATCAAATAAGATACAATCTAGTTTATATGTTCACCAAACATATCCCCTAAGCATTTGTGATGTATATTCATTTTACGTTTTTTTTCCTCTATAGCCTTCTACATGAGAGTCTATATACAATTTTCTTGATCGACTAATTAATACTTGCACGAAAAAAAGAAAATATTAAAATTGTGAATTTTTTTCATGGGCAGTTCTTGTCGGGTGGGCAATCGGAGGTTGAAGCGACACAAAATCTGAATGCCATGAACCAGGGCCCGAACCCGTGGCACGTGTCGTTTTCTTATGCGCGGGCCCTACAGAACACATGCCTCAAGACTTGGGGAGGCCGCCCGGAAAATGTGCAGGCGGCCCAAGAGGCTTTGCTTATTCGGGCCAAGGCCAACTCACTTGCGCAGCTCGGGAAATACACGGGCGAAGGTGAATCCGAGGAGGCCAAAAAGGGCATGTTTGTCAAGGGCTATAGCTACTAAGCTTACATTGCAAAACCCAAAGGAAAATGGGGAGGAAAAAAAAAGGGTAAAAAGGCATCTTGAGATGAAGGGGAAAATGTGTTGTGTTGTTTGTCTTTGTGGTGTTTAAAGCCCAACTGGAGACTATTTTGGTTTAAGGTGAATGTACTATTTTGACAGTTTTAATAAGCTTTAATGCTGATGAGAGTATCTAGATAGCTCTGTTTGTATTAAAAATCATGGTATATGAATTTATCAGATTTCATGGATTTTATTTTTATTTTTATTTTTATTCTATCTTGTTCAAGTTAAAGTATGTTCCAAAAGTCTCAATTTTTGGTTCATTTTACAGTCAAATACCCATTTTTCATGTCCTATAAATGAACCATTCTGCAAAGGTTAACAAAAGTATCATGAACTTTGAGTTATTTGCAAAATGATACACTGAAGTCAGAAACCGGCCATCGGTGCTTACGTGTCCAACCATTGTCGCGGCTAGAATCCTTCCAAATCGCGCAGAGCCGAAAATCAAAACATGAAAAGTGAGGAAGATCAAGAAAGGGAAAGGAGGCAACATAATAACTTGGTGTAGAGAAGGCTGAGGTGGTGGTGGATTGTCAGAAGAGGAAAATTGGTGTGGCCGCCATGGAAAAAAAAATGAAGAGTGTGCGTGGTGTCTGTGTGTTTATATTTATGAATGTGGGTAAAAGTGACAAAACAGTGGACTTTGTTCGCATAACTATAATTCGTACATATTTTCCACGTGGGATTAAGTTTTACACATCAGGTTTTTAATTCTACATAGTAAAAGGTTGGTCGGAGACATAAGTACCGATGACAGATTTCTGACTTTGGTGTATCGTATTGTAAAGAAAAAGGTCATGATATTTTACACCAATGTGCAAAAGTCGTGATTTTTTTGGTATTGGAAAAAAATGTCGTGATATACCGAGTTATTTTCCGTAGTTAAAAATTCACAAAATCATATGTATATTACACCAAACAAACCTTAGTTATACAAAACAAACAAAGACATTGGTAATTTAATCAACCAATTATTGATTGATATTATTTAATTCTCTCAATCGGCTATCAAGCTCTATTTCTTCGGTCATTGTATTGATAGTATTGATGATAGTGGAGTTGAGTTAAAAAAGTGGTAAGTTAAAATGTTTGGATTGTTTTTGAAAGTTTTTGTATCCAAGCACCCTCTTATGGACATCCATAACTTAATCACCGACATCTGCGCAAAGTTTATTTATTGCAAGATACGTGTCAATACACTATATGTGAACAATTATGAATGATCTCATAAATTGTGTCATTCGATGACTCCATAGCAAAACTAGAAATAAGAGGGCAATTCAATGGCCTAATTAAATTATATATCTATCCTTAAATCATGAAATCAACCTAATTTATGCTATAAGTATCTCATTCGTAAAGATGAAAAAGAAAATAATATTATGTAACTAAACACAAATTAACAAGCAGAACAATTCGCACTGATAATTCAAAGTTTCGAGCATAATAAGTTATATAAGTAGCAATTTCAAAAACGGAGGCGCGCCTAGGCTGGGCACGTTACTCTTACCCAGGCGCCAGTCGGTGCTCAATGCTCTGCCTATCTAATATCTATGCGATGCAATCCACAAGGCTCCCTGCTACAATCACTGATGGACTGGAGCGAAGAAACCGTGCTTTTATTTGGGGAGGGACGACTACTCGGAGGAAGATTCATCTGGTTGCATGGAACAACGTCTGCAAGCCTTAAGCTCGGTTGGGGCTTGTTGACTAAGCCGAACGCTTTGTGGGTGCGAGTTCTTAAGGCAAAGTACCGTCTGAATTTTTCGAATGGGCTGGCTAACATTCAGTGGCGGAACGGTTCGCCTTTACTTGGGGCCATTAGCAAGGTGTGGCCCGATGTGCTTCATGGGGTTCGATGGCGCGTCGGAGATGGTACGACGACTAGGTTCTGGCTTGATCCGTGGCTCCATAACACGGGCTCGCTGGTTGATTACATCAGTCATACATCGCCGGAGGTGAACCTTTGGGAGTCGGTGGCCAACTTAGTGGACGATCATGGCGGGTGGAAGTGTGACCGCCTTCAGGGACTTCTCCGCTCCACCGTTTTTCTACGGCTGGCCGGAACGCTTCCCCCGAGCGCGGAAGTCGGGGCTGACCGCCTTACGTGAGGCTTCTCGAAGGACGACCAATTGTCAACGGCGATAGCATACCGCTCTTTAGCTCCTCCGGCAGCGGAGCCTGACCAGCTCATTTGGCGCTTAATATGGAGAACTCCAGCTCCGCAACGCACCCGACAGTTCCTGTGGCTGGCGGCTTGCGGCTTGCGGCTTGCGGCCGTCTTCTCACTAATGTGGAACGCGTCTGCCGGCACGTTGCTTCGGAGGAGGGCTGTGATTTTTGTGGGGCGAGCGAGTCGATTCTACATGTCCTCCGTGACTGCCCATACATAAAAACTGTGTGGATTCGGCTGCTCCGAGGTGAAGATAGTGTCGCATTTTTCCATCAGCCCCTCCGGCCCTGGCTGCGTACAAATGTTGCTACTCGTCGATTGAGTGAGGTTCGAAGCTGGAATAGTACCTTCTCCATTACGGTTTGGCGTGCGTGGAAATGGCGAAATGAGCGAAGTTTTAATCAAATCACACTAAGCAGTGAGGCCAGGCGGGTGGATATCGTGAATTTAGTGGACAGCTATGCACGGGCGGAGGCGGCGTATGTGAAGGTGGGGGCAACACTATATGTCACGCGTACAATTCATTGGTCCCCTCCAGACCCGGGTTGGATTAAAGTTAATACTGATGGCGCATATGATAATTGCACGGGCTTGAGCAGTGCAGGTGGCTTGATTCGTGATGCCTTGGGTGGTTGGATTGCGGGTTTTCTTATGAATATTGAGGTCTGTTCCATAACGGGCGTTGAATTGTGGGGCCTTTACCAGGAGCTTCAACTGGCTTGGTGATGTAGAACGTGATATGTAAACAGGGAAGAACGAGATACTCTCTCGTGAAAATAGAACACCAGATAATTTCATAAAATCTTCAATCGTCTTTTCCAATCTCACATCAGCTAATAAATAGAAAAGAGAGTCCTACCTTGCCAAACAACTGCAAGGACATTATTTTCTTACCTAAACTAAAATAGGAAATAAGGAAAATGCATAAATAAAAGGAAAGGGAAATAAAATAAATAAAGAACTAAATCCAAAGCCGATCAAATTTATCCAAATATGCGAAGGCAGCCTCGTCTCCATCACTTGGGATAAAGGGTACCGCCAAGTTATTGTCGAGATCGATAGTCAGTGCGTGTCGCAGATGGTGCTTAATACAGATGGGGCGATGGGTGAACATGCCACCTTGATGCAGACCGTTCGGAGTTTGATCCAGCGTGAGTAGAACGTTAAGATAGTGCATGTTCACAGGGAAGCCAACTTTGCAGCGGACTACTTAACGAGTGTGGCGGCTTCTTGCCCGATTGGACTACAGAGGATGTCCTCCCCTCCTCTAGGCCTTAGCACATGGCTGGATCATGACATCATTGGGGTCTCGTATCCCAGTAGAATTCTAGCTTAAATCATGCCTTGACCTCCTTTTTTGTACCAAAAACATAAAAATAAAAATAAAAAATAAAAAAATAAAAAAAGTCCTTTTACGTGTTTACCATGTTTTTTTTTTTAAAAAAATTAATAGAAATACGACATTCAAAATAAAACGTAAATTAACCATTTATAAATCAAAAAACAATGCAATTCAGAAACTAGTGATAAAAATAAACCACAAATCAACCATTCAATAACACTAGTACAACACCCGTGTAGTACACAGGTGCTTGTTAAAATATTATTCTTAAATTTTAAAATTAATGAGAAAATTATATTAAATTTAGTTTACTTTT